CCACCATTCTCCCGCCCATTTCTCTGGGGGGGGGGGGGGGACAGTGAGACGGCACGACCTCCGTCTTCTGCCAGGAGCATCCGTCAGAACCCCAGCCAAGTGGTCACGGTGGTGCGCCCCCAGACAACACGGCCTGGCCAGGTCGCCACCCAGGGCTGGGGCGGTCAGGGTCGCGGGGAACGGGACGGACGCGCCTCCAGGCGAGAGAGGACACGGTGAGGGAAGAGGGGTCAATTGGGACAAAAACTTGTGGTGGCAGAGTGGGAAGGAGGATTGATAAACTGAGATTAGGCAGCAAGCTATAGTTGATAGGTATTTAATAAATGCTTTCTAAGCATAATTGGTCACAATGCCCATTAGGTGTTTTAGGTTCGAATTAAAGTGACTTTAATAAAAGGATAACGTGATTATTTTTGTGATCCGTTCAAGCAGGTAAACGCTAGCAGTGCTGAGCCATTTCCCGCAAACATGTTTGACCGAAAACCTAAAAAACTCACTTGCGCTATAATAAACTTCTTTCAGGCCTTAGGTACTTCCCCGACCCGAAATCTCACCGTTTCTGGCGGCTTCATCGCGGTTGATTCGGCGATGTTTCTGCGAGACGCCCCTAGGTGGCAGCAGCTCCGCCACTCTCTTCACACCCTTCTCCAGCCACATCGTAACCACCGGAAACACTCTTCACATCACACTCCACTCCACACTCATCACAAACTCTGACCGCCGAGTGCTGGGTTAGACACTTCCCCACTCAAAGTTAGAACAATCTTGCAACCATTCTTGGACCGATCCAAAACGAAGTAAAACCAAACCGCGACCAGACGAAACAAAGCAAAACTGATAGGAGGATTCTCACCACCGCCACTCTCCGCTGTGCCGTCGTCGGCGGGCGTAGTACACAACTGATGGCTGGCCGGGCGGCTGAGGCCCGCTGGGAGCGAACTGTCCCGGGCGGGCGACGAGCCGTCTGACTCACTCGTGCTCACTGACTCAGCAAGAGGTGAGGCGAGTGAGCTGCTGCGGCGCGACCGGCCGCCACGTGTGAGACGACATGTGAGAAGTGAGAGGAAGCGCGACGTGTGGATCCACGTGGTGGATCGCCATTCGCCACATGCGAGCAGAGATGAGTCGCCACGGGTTTGAGTAACACGTGAGCCGCCTGGGATGCGAGATGCCACGTGAAATTGCACGTGTTCCTCTTCCACGTGATCCAGTCGCCACGTGGAGAGGTAACCACGTGAGAGGTCACCACGAGCCTCAATCACCACAAGACAGGAGTCACCACAACTACAATTGTTCACTCCGACCGTAGCATCAACCCAGAAACGGACCCACGCTTCAAAGACTACCAAAAGCACAGCCACCACTACGTCCATTATAAAACTTGATTCAAATCTGTCACTGTCTGTGCATGGGACGCAGCATGGGAGCAGAAATGGTTTCACTAGACGGTGGCTGTAAAGTCAGACTGCTGCAACCGCGCAGAAGTCGGGGGGGGGGGGAAGGGGGTGTGGCCGTCTGGGGAGGGGACGGAGACGCTTCAGTCTTCCTGGGAGAGGGACACTAGCCCCCCCCCCCTCCGCCCCTTAGTGATTGGCCTGGCTCACGGGGCGGTCGGGGAAGTTGCTATCTTATCTAGATCACATACAGACTGGCGCCCCGGGCGTACCCCTAGTAATACAATGCCAGCGGTCTAGACTCCTTGCAGCTGCATTGTCCGTCATTGAATGTGTACGGCCACCATGCAGAGCTAACTCCAGACGGTTTGACCTTGTATACCCACTGCCTGCAAGACTACCTACACAGACGCCGTAGACAAAAGGTCAGGAAAACGCGATCAGTGGACCGTGTGAACTAGACCAGTGGCATATTTACCACACAAAAATAGAAATGACGAAAAATGTCATGCTGTTATAATTAACCCGCGCCCGGCTGGGGGTCCTGGATTTCCACGCCCTGCTGGGGGAGGGGGGGTGTTTGAACACCCCCCCTTCTAACTCGGCTCCTGGGCCACGTAGCGATACGCGGAAGGCGGCGTTCGAAAGAGCGTCAAAAATAATGAGGAAATCACTTCGGTCAATTTTTTGGTCAGGTCAAAGGTCAGGTCACCAGAGGTCATTGAAGGCAAAATTTCGCCGATTTCCAGGTCGAATGTCGACAATTTCCAAGAAGCCAGCGCATAACTCGGGAACCAATAGAGCTACAGCGCCGCGGAAAAGCGCATTCGATAGCCCTATTAACGCCCTTTCTGAGTAATTCTCTCAGATTTGACCTAACGTCAACGGTTTTGCCTGCAGGGGGCAAAAACTGCAAAAATAGCCGATTTTTTCGGAAACAGTTTTTCTGCAATAACTTTTGACCCAGACCTTGTACGAGCTTACTTTTACCGGCATCGTGTTCCTCTCGTCAAGACGCATCGAATGAACCATAACTTGACCTTTAAAGGTGAACTTGAAAATTTGACCTCAGGTCAAGGTCATGACCTGACCGGAAAGGGTCATGTTGCATATCAGTCGATCCGTATCGTCGAGCTGAACACATCTAAGGCGTTTTCATCGCTCTAGCATACCCCTATCAAAAGTTATTTGCGAAAAATTGTTAGATACCATTCGTGACCTAAGATGACCTCAGGGCATAAACAGGGGTCACGGACACCATTTTCATGTTCAGTGTGTCTAAACCACTTGTAATTCAGTGTTTGGGAGTGTTTATAATGTCTTTCGTCCAAAAGAGGCGCATTTCAATTTTCTCCCATTGACTTATAATGGGGAGGTCGCAAAATTGACCTGACCTTAGGTCATCGATATCAAAATTCTGAGATATGCATTTTGTACATGCTATTGCTCTTAGCAATCGCTGAAAGTTTCAAAGCGATCGGTCACTCGGTGTAGCTATGACGGACATTGAAACTTTTTATGAGGTGAGGTCACTTCAAGTGACCTGGTGACCTGACCTTGAATGACCTTCGTCTGAAATTTTCACAACATGTGTAGAATTGATGTATGATAAGGTGTACCAAAAACGGCGGCGATCCGCGCCGCCGTTTTTGAGATATTCGCGAAAAACCACAAGGGGGGGTGTTCAAACACCCCCCCCCCAGCAGGGCGCGGGTTAAGTAGTTTAGAGGACATGGTTTTATACGTCATAGATGCATTAATTTGTTACTGAGGAAGACTGCAGAAATAACGCATAACTATATAACTATGAAAAATATGATTTTGGTATTCTTTCTGTAATGAGTTGACTCCCCTTCCTCCAAAAATAAAACGCTCTGGTTATTTTGAATCATGCTCGTCAACGACCCATTAAATTTTATAGAAAATATTTCTCAAGCATGACTAAGAACATGGAGCACTGTAGATGGTTATAGACAGTAACTCATGTATTTAACTGCCAAGGGTGGTTTCTTAGTAGGGTAGGTGGCGATAGAAAGTCCACAATGCAACCACTGGCCACAATGTGTTTAAATAAAGCACACCGTTGAACACATCACGAACATCATGAATCACAAAACGTACCCAGAAACTTGAGGAAAACTCACACCATTTACAAGATACATATCGCAACTCTGTACCATATACCCTCAGAGTGAGCATGTATGTTTATATGACGAAAACCGTGCACGTTTTTCATTGATAGCTCTGATTTGTTCTTACCATCACGCCAGATAGTGTCTTGGACCATAAAAAACTATTTTTGCCAGAGGTTTCTCAAGCAGACTCATGTGGTATGAAACAAGCCACCAGGAATGGATATCTCGCAACTGCGGTGGCAGTGGCAGGCAGGAATTAAGAGATTCCCAACCCAGTAAACAAACAAAGCAATAATCTTCTACTTATCGTGTACTACATGGAAACAACAGGAACTTGCGAAGCATGCAAACTTGCGCGGCGCAAGTAATGTGATGCTGCTGAGATTTTAAGATAGCGGTAATCCTGGTTAGGACTTAATGAAAACTAAGAAGTTATGCAGTTTTAGTCGCTAGGTGTTTATAAAAACTCGTGGAGCCCGTAAAGGACAAGTGGAGCCTCTTCCAAAGTTCGCTATGCACAGGCTCAGTAGCGTCTCACAGAAAACTAGACAGGCCAGAACATGTAACTAGTCAGAATATCAAGATATTTCGGTAGTTATGGGTATTTTTCGGTGTTCTAAATGTTTTTTTTTTATCCAACAGTAGTAGCATGAGTTGGCGGCTTACGGGTTATGCAATGTTTGACTTCGTGATTACATTTTAACTTTAAACTGTGATGCTAAACCGTAGAAGAAGTTAATTACATTTGATCTTTGTAGTTTCCATCACTACACGGATGAAAATTGTCCCAATGCACACCAGCGAATCGTAGCCTGTCGCGATTCACAAGATGATAGCATGGCAATAGTGCAGAGGCCCTCTGCCCTGCGATCAAAAATTGTCATTATTGCTTCGTTGAGTGGGACAGACCGTGTCTGGTTTTGATGGGTACGCCAAGCCTTGGCACCCATTTTCCCGTTGTCCAGAATTGGCCGATCGGGCGGTAGGGGTCGGGACCTACGCAACAAGCTGTGCTCAGCATGTGAACTCGGCTCTAATCCGCCCATTCAAACACCGGCTAAATTCATTTAAATGAATCTTCTATAAAATGTTTTATAGAGTATTGTATAACATGTTTTTATTCTCCTTTCAGTACTGTCGAGGATCTGTTCCGAATAAGAGATGCAATTCCACTAAGCGCTCCATCCCTTGCATCAGAAATAAACGCTGAATTGTAACACACTGTCTTATAGGTAGATAAATCCCGAGTCTTTGATAATAAAAAACGAAATCTGTGCATACCAAAATCCTGCACGGCTTGACCGTGTAGAAAGACGTTCGACACTGCTGAGAAATACTGTGCACTGGTATTTACACGGGTGTCAACCGGGTCTCGCTGAGTGTCAGAGTGTCGTGGAGTGTCGTGACTGACACCCGAGTGTCAGTGTGCCATCCAGTGCCATTCTGTATCATTCTGTGTCATCCGACTCACCGTTAAACACCTGGTCGTTTCGCTGAATGACGGGCACTAGAGAGACCTGACACTTGCCGGGGCCGTTCTCTGTGGAGAGCCCAGATCAACGCCACGCACACATTGTTAGACCCGGCTGACCCGGCAGCACAGGTCAGGTCAGGTCAGGTCAGGTCACGGCGTGGTCAGATCAGGAGGGGGAGGGTACATATAATAGGGTGTGAGTGACTTTTTTGTGGAAGAATGGAGGGGTCAGGTTCGGCCAAATAATCCACCGACAAAACGGGAATGAGGATGGATAGTGACATGCAATTATTTAGACAAGGGGTAGATCCATTTGCAGTACATCTCATCTGCACAACAAAGAATAGGGTCAGGAGAACTATATACGATAATAACATAGTTTTGTGAGGTCACAAAAAATGGTAGACTACCTGAGAAAAATAGCGATAGCAGATGTTGTGGAATGCGTCGAAAAAAAATAAGGGAAAAAGTTGTTTAGGCTACATAGTCAAAATAAAAAGAGTTCGACCAAGACAAAACCAGATGTTGGAGTCAAATATTTTGTTCCCGAAAAATATGTATAGATAAGTGGCGTTTTGGGACACGTCAAATGAAAGTCAGCGACCACAACTTACGAAGGACAACGGTTATAGCTACCAAGAGTATTCAGGTGAAATAGGCCCCGAGAGTAAGAAAAAAGTAAAAAAGTAAGGGTAACAAATGGGACAACAAATGAAATGACAAGCCGGTCAACAATAAGTCGTCAATCAGCTTCAGCCAGCCTTTGGGTACATTTTGACAGGAATAAACGCACCACTGCGTGGACATGCCAGGCCAGGTCAGGTCATGTGAGGTCAGGTTAGGTCACAGCTCAAAACGGTGCATGTGGCACACCCACACGGGCGCACACACACGCTGACGAAGTTACACAATCACAACACTTGCGATGACACTGATCGTATGCACAGTACTTCACGCATCCCCGTAATGCTGTAACAACGCACCAAAGAGGCCATCTGAACCGTGAGAAACATTAGAAGAGTTTGAGTGAAACCAATAAATGGCGATAGTTACTGGGAGTACGAAATTTCTACGAACTTTTTACAACGCTAAGTTGTAACCCAGATGATCCCGATCCAAAACGAGCTAGTAAAATAAATACGCATGATTAATATGTGATAGATAAGAACTATCTGTCCGTAGCTCAACATGAGGCAAAAAATCCCTTTGCATTACTTACAAGAAACCCAAGAACCCAAGAAGCGAACCCAAGAGCGAACCCAAGAAACATTGAGAAAATGCCATCCTCCATCAAACCATACGTAGTTTTGAGCGTAGTTTTTCTTATCTATCGCGGTAACTGGTACGCTGGCTGACGAGTCAACCTTATCTGATCTTTATAATTTAACCTTTGATCCCTTCATAAATGATATAAGCAACATATCCACGACTCATTCCCAATATGATAAGGTCAGGACCAGCTGCAAATTTCATGAATGTACCAAGGTGAGAAGCCTGAACTGTTTTGAAAATAACATTTCTATCATCCATATAAACGCACGTTCAATGGTAAATAAACTTGATGAAATTGTAACATTTTTGGCACAAATAGACCAGAAGATGGCATTTGTATGCATTTCAGAGACCTGGCTCAATCCAAAAATAGAAAATAAGTTTTGCTTAGGGGATGAATATATGGCTTTCTACAAAAGCAGAGAAACTAAAGTAGGAGGGGGATCAGCAATTTTTGCTTATGACAAATATTTCACTGGCATCCAAAAGATAATACTACATGAATTCAAAACAGCAGAAGTAGTTACCTTACAGGTAACTAATGGAAACAAGCCATCTTTCCTTATTTGTCAAATTTACCGACCCCCTGATAATGAATGGGAATTTCTTCTTGAAATGGAACAGTTTCTTTCCGCCTTAACCGCACTAAACATGCTTGCATTCATTGCAGGTGACTTCAATTTTGATTTATTCTCAATTAATAATAATTCTGCAAATGAATCATTTTTTACATTGATGTGCAGTTTTGGATTTTTGCCAACTATCTCTAAAGCTACCCGCATTACCCCAACCTCAAGTACTCTTATTGATAATATCTTCACAAATGACTTGTCTAAAATAGTAGTACCAGGGGTAATTGTAACAGACCTTTCAGACCACCTTGTAATCTTTACAACTGCAAATGTTGAAAATAAAATATTAGAAAAGAAGGATAAGGAAAGAACAGTATTTGATTACAATAAAATTGAACACCTGAAGGGCCACCTAATAGAGAGTCTTGATGATCTCACCACTCAAACAGATCCTGAACTGGCCTGCATACAGATTATACAAGCATACAAGGACGGCATTGCTATGTGTTCAAAAACCATAACATGCTCAAGAAAAAATAACTTCATAAAACCATGGATGACCCCAGCTATACTCTGTTCCATCAATCACAAAAACAAAATGTTTGTGAACAAACTTAAAAATCCAAATTCATACAATATAGCACAATACAAAAAATATCGAAACTGTCTAAATAGGGCAATTACAAACTCAAAGAAGGCCTACTATGAAGCAGAATTTCAAAAAAACAACAGGAACCCCAAAAAGACATGGGAAACATTAAATGAACTTCTAAAACAAAAAAGTAAATGTGATATTTTGCCAGGTGAAACACTAAACAACACTGAGAATAGCGGTCAAGAAATGATGTCAATGGCTGAAAGTTTCAACAAATTTTTCACAGAAATAGGGGAAAAGTTGAAACAAAATATTCCTTGTAACAACACAAATCCCTTAGAAAATGTTCGAGAGACAGAAGGAGAAATGACTAACTTTTCTAGTGTCACTGATGATGAAGTGGAACAAATAATTAAACAGCTTAAAGATGTTGGTGCTGGAATTGATGGAATCAATTCAAAAATATTGAAACATTCTTACAAACCTATCCTTTCAAAGCTTACTTATTTCTTCAACCTATGCCTCTCAACAGGAACCTTCCCAGATCCCTTAAAAATAGCATCTGTGAAGCCAATATTCAAAAGTGGAGATCATAATAGCTTATCTAACTACAGACCAATAAGCATTTTGCCAATAATTTCAAAAATATTAGAGAAGGTTATCCACTACCAACTGACAGACTTTGCAACAAGCAGACACATTCTCTCAGACAATCAATTTGGATTCAGGAAAAATAACTCTACCTACATGCCAGTCATGCTTATTCAAGACTACATAACTGAAGCACTGGAAACTAATAACATTATAGCAGGTGTCTTTCTTGACCTTTCAAAAGCATTTGACACTGTAGAACACCAAATACTACTAGAAAAGTTAAACAAAATGGGTTTTCGAGGAAATATTCTAAAAACAATCAAATCATACTTAACAAACAGATTTCAAGTGGTACAGATAGAAGGGGTCAAGTCAACTGAACGAGAAATAAAAATAGGAGTGCCGCAGGGGTCAATTCTTGGACCACTCCTCTTCATTCTATACTTAAATGACATTGCAAATCTTCCAATTGAAGGGCAAATTATGTTGTATGCAGATGATACTGCAATATTTTTCAAACATAAAAACAGAGAAACACTTCAAGAAATAACAAATGCAGCCCTGTCAAAAATATCTGAATGGCTAGAAGCAAACTACCTCACAGTGAACCCATCAAAAACATTTCTCCAAGTATATTCAAAACGGAGAACTGCTGAAAAGTTAAACATTTACATTAGAAACACAGCAGTAGTTGAAATGAAAACAGTGAAATATTTAGGAATCCTTATTGACTCTGACCTCAAATTCACATCTCATATCAGTAGCATATGTAAAATTATCAGCAGAAACATTGGAATGATTGCAAGAGCTAGACGCTTTATCCCAAAACAGCAGCTCATTCAATTATATTATTCTTTGATTTTTCCTTATATCAACTACTGCTGTTTCATTTGGGGTTCCAACTATGAAAACCACCTTCAAAGGCTGGTAATTCTGCAAAAAAGGTTCATGAGACTAATTGAAGGTATTTTCCCACCACAAAGTGCTACCCCAATATTTAAAAAATATAGTATTCTTAAAATTAAAGACGTAGCCAAACTTCAAATAATGCTTATCATGCATAAGTACATAATGCAGGAATTACCAGTCTCTGTAAGACGATTACTTCATCTTTCAACTGACCCTATCCATCAGACAAGAAATATCCATCATTTTCAACCTGTTTTTTCAACAAAAAATTACAGGCTCTACTCATTTCCTTGCATCGGACCCAAACTCTGGAATGACTTAATAGCTAAAGATCTTCTATTAGAAGAAGTACCTCAATCGAAAAACACTTTCAAAAAATATGTAAAGAATATCTTACTTAGTGAGTACTAAGCAAAAGTACTTATCAAAAGTTTAAGTGAAGTATTAGCAATAAGTATTAGTTAAGTAATCCTGGGTACTAAGTATCCTCGTAAATATACCTATAAATGAATATGAAAATATGTTAAATCTTACAATAAGAGAAACAACAAGAACATGATAATAAATAGCAATACATACCTAAATAGCGTAATACACACGCTTACCTAGTACTTTTCATACAAAGTGCTTAGCATCTCGACAAGTGGCCCAATAATAAATGGACATATTGGTGCATTTATTATTGGGCTAGGCTGACAATGATGTGTTGATAATGTAACCTACCTTTGTGATTATCAACACAGGAGATACGTCCCCACTCAAATGGAACGCCGGACTTGAAGGGGTCCATCAGCAACAAGCCCTGCTTAGCTGGTGGGCCCTAGAAAGTCTGGCTGTTGACCTGCGCTCGAATTGACCAGAAATGTTTCCCCACTGGATTGCCATTTGCTGATTTTTCTTCTAGGAGTGAAAGGCTGAATGCACTCTACTAACCAATTATGTATGCATGTATGAATGACTTCTTTCTTAGATGTAGTAGAACAGTCATCCGCTGCTTTCAGCAATGACTACTTTGGCTCTCTTTATTTATTAACCGGTTCCCGCACTTCTTTTGCTTACTTTGTTTTTTTTTTCAATTTTCCTAGCTGGGAGTGCCGCGACTTATCCTTTTTTATTTTTGTCTGGTGTTAACGTAAGGTGCTGTGAGTCGCTGGGCTGAGGGTGGGGGCACTCCTGGTCACCTAATAATGGGTGGCGGAGTAGTTCGAAAAAAAAAAAAAAATACGACCACACCCCCTCTGAATCATCACAACACAGGTCCAACACATCACCCTTGGTAAACACGGCACAGAAGAGGGGTTAGTCGGCACCCCAGCCTCGCTGTGACCTCTGACCTGACAAAGGTCACGGCCAGGGTCAGGGACACAAACACATGGTTGGCACCTCACCCACATACATGCCGGGTGCTTGCAATGGAAATAACGTGAAAATTGATGCACCTTGGGACAAGTAAAGACTTTTACCATCGCCGCTTCAAGTTGTGACACTAAAAATAGTAAAAGTAGCTTTTTGGCTTTTTTAGGAGAAAGGCTAATGATAATTTATCACGCAAGATATTTTGTCAAGTCACCAGTCCCAAGTCATTTTCACGAACAATTCCCTGTAGGCGCAGTCTTTTTGCAGAATGCTGGCATGCAGCACTTCATATAGCACAACAAAAATACAGGCAGGATCAAACACAACACAAAATCGACATGCAGAGTGGCAGAATGTTGCGCTCAGAAATTCTGCAAAAACCGCGTCTTCGGTTGCCATTTCAATCTGTTTTTTAACGTGCCAAGTGTAGAGATATGATTTTATATCACGTCGACTAGAAAATGTAAAAATTCAGTCGGAAGAGCATCTCTTTGCAAGTTTTCCGAGCACCTCTATATACAAACAACAAAAAGGAAGCGGGCATATCCAATATATACTACCTACCTGGTGCAGCCAAATGTAGAGGCTATTCTCTGCCAACACTACCAACCATATGCTGTCAGCCTCTCTTAAGCCTGAAACAGACTCTTTCCGCAGTCAGGAAATCGCATCCGAGAGCCTATTCAAATACATGGAAGCACGCTCGCATCAATCGCACGCACCTCCCGCAAGCGATTGATGCGAGAAGAATTACAATGTATTTGAATAGGCTCTCGCATGCGATTTCCTGAACGCGGAAAGAGTCTGTTTCAGCCTTTACGGACCAGCTTTTTCATGCTTTTACCATTCCCTGTCGCCCATTGGCTCGCCAGCAGTCCAGAACCATGCTATTTACTCCCAAGTGCACTGCAGCCCTTTTTGGCCCACTAATATCCGCTCTCATGTTACCGATGACGTCACCGTTCTATGACGTCACCACCACAATCCCGGCGGTGTGTGTATGATGTCATCAGCACAAGGCTGGCAACCCTGAGAAGCCCTCACAACAGTTGCGGCGATTCTAGCGCTCGCACCGCGTTCACTACGCATTAGCTTCTACTCATCACCCAATGGTGGTCTAATCAAAATTGTCCACGCACAAAAATCAGTACCCTTGCGCGATACATAGGGCCTCATTCCAATTATGTACAAAATACGTCGATAGCTTGGCGGGCTTTCCTCATTGACACGGTCCAGGCACGATGCTCGGGTCAGAGGTCAAAGGTAAGGTCTCAGGTCAAGGTCAAGGTCACGGTGACGGCGGAGTTCTGAATGATACCGGGTGCAGACTAACTCCACTAGCTCTGACGTCTTGTGAAGGGTGAAAGTGGGGTGAGTTCAATCCGACAGGAGAATATCACACAGATCAACTCGGCAGCAGAGGTGAAAAGGTCTTTGGAGAAAAATTACAAAAACTGAGAAGCATGACGTTGGAAGAATAAAGTAACGCTAAGTTTGGCAAATCTTCACGAACGCATTCTGCGAGCACCCGTTACCAATTTCAACACATCGACACCGACTAAATATTGAACATTATCCAATCCCGCCTTTTCACCTCTGCATAGATCAAATACGACAGCGGTTTCTAGGAGAGGGTGGGGTCGGCACTCGCCACACCAAGCCGGGTCCAAGGTCAGGTGGCCGGGTCAGGTCAGGTCACATACCTTCGGGCTCTCGGGCGATCACAGTGGCCGATCTGTCGACCTTGCGGTCCTCTGCAGCACGTGGCACGTGGCACGTGCGGACGGACGGCACGGCGGAAAAACGCAGAGAGAAAAAGAGATGGAGAGAGAGAAAGAGAGATAACTAAAAGTCACCTTTCTGTCTCGCACCGTTCGGCAGAGCGACAGTGCAGCGGGCAAAAAGGGCACCTGTCCAGTACAGTTCTGATGCTGTCGGTGCCCTTTCTCCCGCTGCACGTGATTTGATGCGTGATATGGAAATCCCCAATGGGATAGGCGTGCTATGTACAGAAAAAGTTTTTTATCCGAAAGCGGGCCAGAAGAATGTGCAATGAGTGACGATTTGTGACGTAATTATGATGGAAACAAACCGGCCCATGTTCAAAAAACGTTGGCAAAATGAGTTGCGTGTTGTCTCCCACAAGCTAAAAGAGAACGTACAGAGCTAAAATGAAGCATAATTCAATGAATGGATAAATGGATGATCGAAGAGAATTACATAGCCTCCCAAGCTCTTAAAAAGATGTTTTAGAAATCTTGATCACACCATCGGTAAGTTTTACCTCATCAATATAGAAGGTAAAATGAAAATTTTAGAAGCCCCTCTAACAAATTTTGGTAAAAATTTTAACGCCACAAGCACAAAGCACGCCCAACCCGAAAACAAATAAACGCTAACACATCAAGACGGGACACGCATCCGCCACTAGCAACCGAATGTTTTGCAAACATAAGCCAAGCCCCGAACAGAACACGCAACATAGGCCCTGCTGTCGTAAGCAAAGGGTATATGAGCAAAATGAATAATACGTGGCATGAATGAATGAAATGCCAACCAAGTTGCACACACCCCATACCATTACAATGAAGTCGAGCCATTCAAAATGACGATGCAATGTGGTGGCCAAATGGATGAATGGACGAATGAATGAATGAATGAATGAATGAATGAATGAATGAATGTGCACTGATGTTGAGCGATAAAACATCACAATAAGGCAATGTGGACACTAAATGATTAACAACGAAGCTATTGTCTAACGTTCACGTAATATCATAATGACTAACGCCTAACTTTTTCCTCAATAACTTCTACATACACCCTTGGTGAACGACATAAGAGTTAATACACTCTACACAGCCCTCTGCCGTACTACCTACCTACAAGCCCCATCGGTCTTTGTTTTAAACCGGCGCTACCTACTGCTGTAAATACTAAAGTCACTGCATACCACCCGTTTTACGCACTCTCGCTATGTTAGCTGCAGGTCCCGAAAAGCCGATCGAAAAGGGCCGTCTAAAGACACAGGCAGAAGCAAGGCATCCATGCAGAGCTAGCGACAAGCGCCGAAAAGCAGAGCATAACAATATTAAGGCGGAAACATTTGCCCAAAATGATGTTCTACTCCCAAGATACAGCAATAAATTTCGCTATGTGGGTGATATCGACAAGCAACTAGCAAGGAGTTGTACTTAACAATTTTCTTGTTTAATATGAATTGTAGGTACATTAAACGTCGGAAAACCTAGGGAATTTCACGGTCGTTAAATTTACTGAATCCTATCCCTATGCCAGCATCACCACAGGGTCACCTATGGACTATGGTCCAAGGATAAGGGGTCATCCGACACTCAAGGTTACCTCGAGGATCATCCGACGCCCAGGGGTCACGAGGGGTCATTCGCGGCCGAAATATCCCCTTAAAGGTCAAACAGCGCCTAGGGGTCACTCAAAAACCAAACTTAAGGGTAAGAGCGGTCCAAAGACCGTTCAAAGGGGTCACCCAGGTCACCCAAAAGTCACCCAGGAGTCATTCTAGGGTCACACGTGAATACCTTCAGGGTTTATAAACACCCAAGGGGTCACTCATTGCGGGAAACTCTTAGGGATTTATCAAAACCCAGGGGTCACTCTAGGGTCACACATGGCCCTTAGGACCACTTTACGGGTTTATGAACACCCCAAGGGTCACTCGTGGCTCGTGGTGCAGGCGGGTGGGGTGATGGTGAGAGATAATGATAAGTATTAGTGCGGTGTGTCGAATTAGTGTTGGAAACCACCACCAGGGGGCTGACAGCCGGGCCGGGCCGGGGCGCCGCATGATGTCATCAGATCAGAGCACTGTGTGACGTCACTAGAACAAATTTCTGAGAAAATGTGGGTCGCACCTTGAAATGTAGTGTGTCACCGGTAAATTTTACCAAAATGTTTAACAAAATGAACAGTGTTTGACGGTGTAAAAGTGTCATGACTGATACTACTACTAGATCCAGGCGCTGTAAAATGGCGTCTAGCGTAAGCGAAAGCGGCATCGAGACATAACACAAATGAAAAATTCTTACTCGAGCACCGTGCAGCAGAAATCCGAAACGCTCCTCAGATTGTTGCAGGTATATTTTTTATCAGATACAACCAACAAAATTTGGAATGAATTTCAAATCAATCAGAAGTCGTCCCAGAATGCATTTCGTAGTCCGCTTGGATCAGTGAACTATTTTAAACGCTTTTTATACAAACCGGTTTGGCCACTAATCCCAGTCCCTCCGCATGCCTCGCTGCGAGCGACTTTGTTCAGCTATTCTACGCCAGCCAAAGAGCGCAGCGCGGTGGCGCGCAAACTGCCCGCCAAATCTCCAAGCCGCGGCTCTACGGGCGGTTCTCTGGTAGCACGCGGGCCGCCTGCTATCCTGCAGCTACCCCGGCCCAGCCCGGCGCGCGGCGCTGCCGGGGCCCGTCCCGGAAGACCCCGTGCTGGCGGCGCTCCGTTTCGGGGAAGCAGGCTGCGCTATCAGTCGAGTAGTCCTCACCGCGAGCTCCATTGACTAGGGCGGCCAGGGCGGGGACGGCGGCGGCGGGGGCGGGGGCGGGGGCGGGGGCGGCCGCCGCCCCCTGCTGCCCGCCCACCATCTTACGTAGGGCCCCTACGAACCCGCCGCCGGCCGCGGCGGCAGCGGAGGCGCGCGCCGGCACCGCCGGTGGCGCCTCTGGTGGCCACATGGCGAAACACAGCTGCCGTCAGCGCTCCACAGACGGCGCACACAAAACGGCGAGCATGGGAGAGCATAGACCTCTGCATATCGGGATAGAGGTCTATGAACAGAACCCTTGGGGGTGTTTCCTCAAGAGTCCGAGATGAATGAATTTCAATGCCGGATTCTTTGGGTAAATCAAAGACGATTAGGAATAAGACGGTGAATACCTGAGGATGTAGAAATTTTAACGTCAAATGATCATTTACTGAAGGCATAATTTAACTAAACAACCATATCTGGGCATGTAAGACAAAGTCCTAGTTACCTTTAAGCCAAGACACTGCACTACACCACTTAGATCATCATAAGCAGCTCATTAGAAGCCAAACAGCTACTTAGCCAAGCACGGGGTTTAGCCAAGAGCCCAGCCTAAGGAAAATTGTCACAGCCAGCTACGAGCCTAAGCACGACAATAGCCTGACGCTCGAACACACGCAACATCGCAAAAGGAGGCAGACAGTAGGCGCTGAGAAGTAGCAGCGATTCTTACTGCGCTCTAGGACTAGTTAAAACACGTAGTGGCGGTGCTGCTACAAGCACATGCACGAGACGTCTTTTCTCGATTATGGAGAAGACTTGCAAACTGTAGTTGAAAGGCCAACTCCAGTTGGAACGCAACATTGAAAAAGAAAGGCAAAGAAGGTAATAGCCCGATTCGATTCCACAGCAATCTACAACACAAGGTCTATGCGGCACTCATCTACCCAAATCTACATAGACATCTACACTAAAGGCACGACACTACAAAACAAATATGACGTCACACGCACAATGAGGGCACCCACAAACACACACGCACGCACACATACACACTAAAGAAGGATCAACTATTAGGGTATCTTCGTTCAATCTTAGGAGCACAGAGTGAAAGCTAATAAGGCATTTCTACAATGACGACTGACTATGTACGAAAGGGCTAAATACAGGTAATACAGACAAATACAGGTTATATAGCATTCCGACCAAGGGTATACATAAATACCTTTCGGAGGCTATTGTCTTAAATTCAAGCCTGTCGCACTTAGAAAGTGCTAACCAGAATTTAGCGCAGTTTTGTTGAAAACCGAATCCTTTTCATTGTCAATGAGAAATATCAGCGATATTTATCTACAGAGGCACGACAATTTCATATGCGCCTAGTGTTTACATCAACATGATCGACCACTGACGGCGCTTCACTTGCCGCGTATTTTGATGCCAATCAATTTTGCCAACTTTGCCTATCAATTTTGGTTTCAATGTCCAATGGTGTTTCGTGAGGCCCGGCCCGGCTATACTCCCTCCCCGTCCACCATGTTATGTGCCCGGTGAAAAGCTTTTTGTCACAAAGAGACCCAGGAATGATCGGTCACTTCCCATCCCAGGGTTGAGATAGATATAATTTTTGCAAGAAAAGGGCATATAGTTCGGAAGAAGTTCGTCACCGAGCACCCAAGGATGAGGTTACAATACCTGTGATATGGTAAAATTGAACACAATTCACTTTTAGCCAGAGATTTATCATGTTTTACGGAAAGGATTGCATTTCTAAATTACCGCATTTTTATATTTTTCAAACTTTTAAGACCATAGCAACCATCCACTAAATTTAAAAAACAATCGACCGCAGAGTTCCCTAACCCCGTGACGTGATGCCGGCCCTATCTCTTCCCCCCCCCCCCCTCTCCTCCCCGGTCCAGATTCGGCTCCACCCAGCTCCCTGTTGCTATGCAGTGCGGGTCTGATGCCAAATTTAGCCACAGACGCTCCCCCAGCCCCGCGGGGGGTCGGTGAACTGCAGACCGACTGACCACGGCTGCAACAAGAGCCCCAACCCGCTACGGTTGGATGAATTTGGGAATTACGGGTGTCTAAGCTGGGATGCGAGGGAAATGTACATTTGGAGATATCTAGTGCGAAATGCTAAGGACAGATGCTTATTGTACAGTACAGCTATAGTATGTGTTGCTGTATACAAATTGAAATATACTACACAAACTGTTTAATTAGGGATGGGATTCTGAAACAAACGAATCAAAATAACTGTGTCCTGTAGGTCAAGCCTGACAATTTAGCTCTTGGCTTGTTCTATCACGAATTATGCCTATAAGAAATCCGTTGTCGTCCACTTTTACAGAGTTTCCATACGTAGCTTAGCTTAGCCACCATCCAAGCAATCTACAGCCCAGCCACCAGCATAGTCCACCACCGTCTACGGAAAAGTTTTGTCTGCGCTGGGATTTGAACCCGGCCTACCTTTGCAGTCGTCATCCTCGACAGTGGTGTTGCTCTCTGTGCTCTCTTTCACGTGAGAACCGTCACCCTTCTTGGCGACGATGCTGCGACCTGGCGGACACAGGTCAAAGGTCAAAGGTCAGATCAAGGGCCAAAGGTCAAAGGTCAGAGCAACGGCCGACTTACACGAACTAGGAAAAATAATGGGTTGAACAATGAACATTGAACAATGAATGCAAGAAGCAATACCAGTGTTGTAATTGACATGGATGCCTAGCACTAAGCATGCCAAAGGGTTACATATAGATGGTGGATGCCTAGCCTAGCACTAACCAGCAGGACAAATCAGATTACTCTGCTCGGACAAAGGATTTTTCAGGCCTGGTAAGTTTGGTTAGCTGATAGATTAGCGCTATCGCCGAGCCTTTCAGTCAAATGTCTTCCTTGTGACAATTTTCAAGAACTATGAGCTGGCTAATTTTAGTAACATCTCCGGAAGCTCCTAGACTTTGTCAACGACGTTCTTTGAAATCTGAATGTTATTAGCGGATCGTTTTAACGCGATGGGAGGTCCTGCCATTCTTGGCAGGCCAAGTTGTCAAATTTGAGGTTATGAAAACACAATGAATGAGCTCCTATTAAATCCAAATGCATTTGATTTTTTTCAGCGACAATCTGAAATACCGATGGTCGCACCAAGCAGTACTGAAAGCTTAGCAGAGTCAAGCATCGGATTTAAAGCCGACATTTTTCGACAAAGGGATGAATTCTAGACTTACAAAGAATCAATAGCGACCACAACATGTCGTCACCAGAGACTCAAACTGCTAAGCGGCCATTCGCCGGTAAAACCAGCGTTACCATGACAACGATAAAAGCCAGCGCAAACTTTGGTCGTAAAGCCTAAAGACGTCAGTAGAATCGGTGTCGCATTGCCCACAAAATCCCCAGATCCTAGTCTGATGCGGGTGCTAAAAAATGCATGTGGGAATGCTTCCGAAACGACCGTAAATAGCGGTACCTATAGAAATTGAAATGTTTCAAATACGAAGTTACGAATTAAGGACAACTTCCTGAACATATATTACATGGACAAGGTGTGCGTTGGCAAGCTTGGAACTTGTAAAAAATGTCCACAACGAAAGAATATTCAGCAAACTCTAAGCATCTTATCCTGAATGAATTCTGACACATGTAGCTTCAGCGTTATCATATCGAGCAAAACATTGATCGGACCAAACTTCCTTTAGGCTGAATAGTGGGACGTCACTCAGAAGAAGAATATACACACTCCATTGTTTATAGGGAACGGGTAGAATGCAAAGAACATATCTCAACTCAATGATGTGTGATAATACATTACCTACTCTATAAAGCAACGCACAAACAACATGAGAAACTCACTGGAGAAGTTCCGAGTGGCAAGCATCGTAGTGAGAATGGCTCCCTGCGGACACCAAACGGCGTCAGTCGATGGAAAATGGTTCACAACTTTATGTTGGTCAAACATTCATAACAATGCCATTTAGCGATCCATGGAAGACAATGAATATAATCGAAGAGCAGCTGTAAAATATAGACTGCGGTCAAATGAAACAGATGCACTTATATTGGCTCAAATGACGTGGAGAGTACCTTCAGAACTTCAAATACGTAAACTAAGCGAAAACACTATTATAATCTTTAGAAGAACAAAGGTTATTGATAGAAGGTATGCACATTCTGTCAAATATTGCGAATGCTGAAAGTGAAAACACCTTTTTATAACGCGCACTCAACAGACACTTTCGCACCCACTCCCCACATGAGTCAACAAAGCACAAAAAAAAATCCAAACAGCACCTTTCCACCCCTACCTCACCCCTTTATTATTTTAAAGCCACCGTGTACCCGACACAAAACAACACTACAAAACCACGCCTGCAGAAAGTGAGCGGCCAATTCCGATACGTGCGTCATTTTCCAATTACACCTCGGGAAGCGTTGCGTGCGGGTCGGTCGAGTCACTGGCGATACAGCCAGCTAGCGGCCAAAGCCGGTCAGTAAAGTGGTAGGTCGTAACGGTGACCGCCCGATTTGACCACATTGAGCGCTGAATAGAATTTCACGGCACCAGCTCACGCACACGTGGAGGTGGAATTCAGTGTTTCGGCTCGGTTAGTGGACGACATAATTTTGGGCATGAAAGATTCAGTTTTCAAACTGTTTAGTTTAGTAGGTATGCTGACTAGAATTTTAACCATGTCAAGCAAATGCATCTCACAATGCGAGTTTTAAGTGTCCAATTAAAAATATGAATATGTGATAGCATTAAAATTCAGTTCGTGTTAATAAATACGATATTAGAAGACATAACTTATTAGCATCATAATTTGGACAAGGAAGTGCATCAGATATTACTCAATAAAAGTATTAGGGACTTATTACTGAAATCAGTTCACTTCACCTGAAAACCATGTTCAATGGCATTTCCACCACAGTATTTCACTCCATTTCAGCAAACCGTCCCACCGCTGCGCCGACACACATTAATACGAAACCTGACAACATCCTCCCCCTCTGCGACCCCCCCCCCCCTGCGACATCCTCCCCCTCCCCCCTACACTGACCTTGAGCTTGCGTCGAGCGTTGAACTTCTTGAGGCAGTCGACGGTCTGCTGCCTGTGGACCACTGAAGCCACACGCTCCCTTTGCTGCGGAACACAACGGGCAGGGCACACGGGTTAGAAGGGGGGATTTGTGGCGCATAGAACGCGTGTTGTGACGCACATAGGACATAGTTATGACGCACAGGCGCTATGTTCTGTCGCACAGGAGACACATCGTGATGCACAGGCGGTATTTTGTGGCGCTAAGATGGCATAGTTGTGTCGCACAAAAGATAAATTATGACGCACTGAGGACATATTGTGACCCAGAGGCGGTATGGTGGCGCACAGCCCGTACTACTGGACAAACAAACCAATAAAATTTCAATCAAAGACGAAGTATTTCAAATAAGACAGCGCCGAATCTATTATAACCCGGCCGGGCCCGGGGGGTAATCCCAACCACCGCAGCCCGGGGGGGGGGCGTTTTTCGCCCCCCCTGTCTAACTCCGTAAATAAGGGAGCTACGGAAGCAAAAGCGATACCAAACGAAAGGTCCTTACGAGACGATTCTAATGCACCTAAAATTTTTGACCTCAGGTCAATTTTCAAGGTCAGAGGTCAAGGTCAAAGGCCAAAACCGGCACATGTGTAGTGATCTCAAAGTAAGCCTTCTAGAGGACGGCAAGCTGCATCAAACTGGCAAAATTGGGTGTCAAACGAAAGAAGAGAATCTGAGGATTCTGAAAATGTGCTTCAAATCAAAGGTCAAGGTCAAGGTCACGCTCAAAATTGACCTCAAACTTGGCACTTTTTCGCACATCTTGCGTGCTAACTTCCAAGATGTTTTGAAATGTTTTGAGGCTTATCAGTTCCCTATTTGTGGTTCATCTTACGATACAAGGCTGCTCAAAGGTCAAGGTCACAGAAGAGTGTCCCTGCTAGAGGCTACAGGGTGGAAAGTAATTACGCGAACATGTATTTTCTTACAATTTCGCCCGTCAGTGGAGATTTTGTATGAGCGCGGGCTGTTATGGAACATGACTGGTCGTGTTTGTTGTCGCCTCATCTAACAAAAGTGACCTTACTTTGAAAAATGACTTGGAAGGTCTACAACACCTCTCGGCTTCGAGTGGTGCTGACGCCATACGCTGCTCAAGACCGAAATGGGCAAAGAGCTCAATTTGAAGTTGCCAGGGAAAGCGTTTGTGATTATTTTGGCTGGATTGGTGCGGAAGGGACTCGGAACGGTCTCGGCACCAGCATTACTCAATTACACCTTTGGTTGAAGCATAATAAAACTTAAGAGGACTTAAAAAGCAAAGCCGTTGGCGGCAGTAAAACCTCGGCGAATTCAGGCGCCGAATGGGTGGTCACCATTTCCGCGACCAAACGACAACAGTCGACCCGAAAACAGGCGAAATGGTTTACTTTGGCCGGGTACCCGATCTAAGATATCACGATTCATACATAAATCCGTGAAAATTCGAAAATCAAGCCGTACAAACAATCGAGATGGCCAAAATTCATGAATTAACAGCAGGATTGTCAGTTTAAGTTTTCTAAAGACCGCCAAACCTGAACAGAGGAGGACAGGCAGCTGGCTTTGTGGTTGGGTGAGACATCTTCGAAGCTATTTCATCCGTCAAACCTGCAGAACAACGCGTTGGGGGCTGCTGATGCGTCCGACGTCCCGCCCGTCCCAACCTTCAAACATCCGGCAAAAGAACACACATCAGCGTGTTATGAGCGCCCGGATGGTGTCAGAATTGCATGTAGTGACCAACAAGGCCACCAAAAATAAAGTATACAACTAGTGGAACATCCTTCCAGACGAGTCCCTTTATCTAATCCATCAATGCACCAAAAGGGGCAAAATGATTGAGCGCACTTTTGTGCCCGACGCAAAGAAACTCTTCTACATGATTGATAAAGTCCTTCCTCTCACGGCCAAAAACACGCAAGACTGGTGCTTTGAGAACCCGTTCTTCTTCTGGGCATATAATGGTCAATCTGGGAATAGCCCAGACCTCAATTTGATCAAAAATATCCAGGCGACTCTTCAGGAGAGCGTCTAAGAACTGCTAGTAGCCACCAACATCGATTGCCTCACCAGACAGCTCCAGGAGGCGTGGACTAAGCTTTGGCCAACAGTGCTTGACATGCTGATGTCAATTATGCCTGAACGCCTTTGTCAGTGTATCGCACATAAATAGGAATATATGAAAAGATGAAATTTTCATGTTACCGCCGCTTTTTCCATTGCTGTAAGACGAAAAAGTATGTTCGCGTAATTACTTTCCACCCTGTATTTCACTGATTCAAGTTAGTAATAATAAATAAGACAATTTTGCCATCCGGAAGCTCTAAATGAAGGCTTAGAGGAAAATAGATGCCAGATTCATGATCAGCGGGTACAAATCCATCATAAACGACCTTTCATGTGTCAAGGTCAACCAGAGGTCATTCGAGGTCACATGAGGTCAACATGAAACTTGACCTTTTCCGAATAAAATATATATCATTCGACGCGGCTTGACAAGGCGAATGCGATGGTACCACTGTCATAGCTCTAGGACCATTTTTGTCGAAGTTATTTGCGAAAAACTAAAACCACATTTCGGGTTCGTTGACCTGACCTCTGACCTCAGGTCACCAAAACTATTTTTCTATTTTTCTCTAGGTCAAACGCTACACAGCCGTGCTCGAAATTTGTCTGTATCTCTAAAACTCTATTTTTAGCAGCTATTTGAAGTTTGCGTCTGTGACGCCGAAGTTTGCCGTGCAGGGGTCTAGAAAAATGGACCTTGTGACGTCATCAAGGGGGCTAGGTCCAAATTTTTTACTACAGAAGATGTCAAATTGATGGGAGAAAAGGTACTGAAAGTTTCGCCTTCCTATCCCTAAGCGTTCGGGAGTTATCGCAAATATTCGCCAGGGGGGGCGAAAAACGCCCCCCCCCCCGGGCCCGCGAGGGATAACCAAGGAACGCACTATACCAAAACAAGATTAATTACATGTTCAATTACTATTTTAAAAAAAAAACTCTTAAACATCCCACCACCTTCCAAGGCCCAAACAGCAGACGACCAATACCATTAGCGTCTTCCCTGTACCCGGGAGGCCACACTAGCACCGCCTCCTCCCCACTCATGTGTCTCTCTTCACGACAGCGTAGTTATCCCCAGGGTGCCGTTCCCATCGTAACGCATCCCCTTGTTAGTCGCAAACGGGCTGCTGAGAAGACACCAGCGGAGTTATAGGGATGCTTTTTTCGAGACGAGCGAGCTGGGGTAGTGATGATAGCGTTAAATGATAACCGACCGCGTCGCTGTTCGAGCATGCCCGAACATGATATTTTAAGAACTCTTTAACTCTGTAGGTTGGATAGGGAGAGATTCCTAAGCAACGTAACAGCGGCAGCTTTGACTGAATTTGAACATCAGCCATGCCGCGCCATGTTGAAATACTATGAAGTAGCCAAGTTACTACTGAAAAACAATAATTGCTCAATAAGCACACTCAAGCATTCTAGTCGAATATCAATTACATCTAAACCTCATACCTCTTCAAAATCTATTCGGTCAATTATGTTCATTTCGATTCTGCCTGACGATTCAGTTCATTGTCCCGAAGCTCGACTCCAACCATTGACTTCTAACGCCACCTAGGCGCACGAATTCCAACCGGCCTATCTCCGTGCTATGCGGTGCAGCATGAGTTCAGGCGCCTGATGTCAGCGCCATCTAGGAACAACAATTTAAGCAGTGGCGACTGGCTGCTCTTCCGAAGCGAAACAGGTATTGAAGTGGGGTTTGAAATACCGCGCAAAATCCGATGGAGGAATACGAGCAGCTCTAGCCATGATATTTAGGGATAATAAATCGCTAGTTACGCATATTCCATGATAATCGCAACGTCCTACAATTTAGCGTCATTTTAGCATTACTCAAGCATATCCATGATACTACGCCGCAACGTCCAATAATCTAGCGCCATTTTAGCATAACTCAAGCAGATCCAGGGACATCGAATCGCAACATCCTACAATCCAGCGCCATTTTAACATTACTCACGCAGATTCAGTGACATGTAATCGTAACATACCATAATCTAGGGCCATTCTCTTACTAATCGATACTCACGCAGATCCAGGGGTGTTTCAGCGCCTCTGTGGCGTTGATGCGGCGCTGCGGGTTCACCGTCAGCATCGAGTTGATGAGGTTTTTGGCGTCCGGTGTGACGGTGTCCCATTCTGGAGACGGGTACTGGAGGAACGAACAAGAGAGACACCGTGAGTGAGGTACTGTAAGATGCGTGTGATGAGCACACACATGGGTGACTGGGTACTGGAGAAACGAAAAAAGACACGCGATACATGTGAGATATCGTGATATACACGTGATCAACACGCACAAACAGAGCGGCAAAAAGACACCGTGAGGAAATGTAAGATACGCGTGTCAAACACAAGGGAGATGGGAGAGGAGAGACAACGCAAACGATGTCTAATGAACACACACACACTATGATCACCCAATGATGTAGCTTAAATGAAGACCAGCACACTAGTAGTTTCTGTTAGGTACATGCAATAAGCAGCACGGTTGCTCACCGTTATTGTTTCACGACCAGTATATTCCGTAGACAGCACGTTCAGGAGCAGGAACAGGATGCTGGCAGGAGATCACGAGGTACGTATGTACAGTAAGCTGTCCGGTTAGGAAACACACAGTCAGGTCACAGGACACAGAGGTTGGGTTAGGTAAGTGCATACACTGAGAGGATGTAAGAATAGTTACGGCAGGCCTGCAGCTGTTTGATTATGCACTTTTGCTACATGTGAAGGTAAGGATAAGAGCATGAGATAAAAGAGAAAGAAAAAAAAAAACATCACTCCCTGTTGGTAAATTCAACGAATATTTAAGCACTTTACGAGGCTGTTTACTTGTTCAAATTTGTTCAAAGTTCTCGTCCTAGCGCAAGACTAAACGAAGAACAGCACACATTAATTTTGTGAATGAAACGCATGCAACTGACGGCAAAATCAAATTTCAGACACTTCTGATGTTCGTGAGAATTCAATTTCATTTTGAATTGCTTAGAAGCCCATCACTTCGCAATTTGAAAACAGCACGATATTGCTCCAGTTGCGGTGTCAGACGCAATTTAAGTTGCAATGCATTTATTTGATACTAGCCGCGTTTACATAGGGTTTGGTGCGTGTCCCTTGGTCTGCCGGAAATGTTGCAAAATATGCCAACGGCGCTTTGCAAGATACAACATGATTTCATTCAACGCCAGGGATAGCACAACATCGAAATAAATGCAGCATATCCAAGCTAGATACAACAAACCCTAAGCAAACGCGGCTACTGACTCTGTGGCATTAGCATAACTGATGCACACTATGTACAGTTTTTTTTTTTCAACACGCTGTTGAGTGGTGATCATGACAGCTTGCTGTTATTCACAACTTGTAACAAAATAGACAGTGGAAGGGTCCTCTTTTTATGACGTTTGCTTTAAGAAAATGAAAGCAAACGACATAAAAACTCAACTCAAGCTACCAAGGCAATCCGAATTCAACAGGTGAAAGAGCGAATGAATTTCATCATTTTCCGTTGCCGATGACTAGCATTAGCGTTCAACCAAAAATTTAGGACCTCATTCACCCAAAGTAGTCCCACACAAAGACAGCCCATGTCGCCATATTTTCTGGCCGAGTCCAATATATCAGGCTCCAGCGAGCAGCATTAGCCACCGGACCAAGTCGTCGATTCTTCCGCGTTATCGGAGACGAAATTTATTCAGGGCTCCGATTAGTTCTGCCAGAAATAGCCTCGTTAGTTGGACCAAGTCGGCGGGAAAACTGGGAAACTGACTAAAACTGCGACTGACCGACACTGCGAGAGGGAGGGGATAGAGGAAAGAGAGCAGAGGGAAGATGGCAGCGGAAGAACAGAGAGAAGGGAAATGCCGGAGGAGAGCGATATAGATAGCAAGAAAGTGAATCGAAAAGAAAGAGAGGGAGATTGGCCCAATAGCTTCACATTTCTTGTTTATAGGAGTTTAAAAGTGCGCTGACTACAAGGTCATTTTGCGCCCAGAGCTCCACATACAAATTGCCGTTAGTTTTTTTTCCAGTTTCATAACAACATTCATCACCATTAGCCACCGATCATTGTGAATGTTTTCCATGGATTTATCTACTGTCCAGCCTCCCAGAGGCAGTAGCCCTCCCAGTCTTTAGTCTCCAGCAAATTCATACAAATGTACTCATATTCCCGCGGGATTTCCCCAGCTTACGTCGTATGCGCCGGACTTGATCTGCGCATAAAGCCGGTGCTGATCCTCGTCCCAGAAAGGCGGGTAGCCCACCAGCAGAATATACAGGATCACACCTGAAAACAGACAGAAAAAAGAAACGTGAGTGACAGAGTATCACGGAAAACTGTGACATAACGTGAAATTCATAACTATAGTCTGGCAAACCTAAGAAAGAATGGATTTAAAGTGCTGCGGCCGTTGATACATGTGCATTTATACCATGAGGGCATAATTTGTCACAACTTTTCGCACACATTTTCCGAACCATACAGTTCAAGTGGTCAAAACACGTGCAAAGTGATTCAGACGCTTTAACTCCGTTCTTTCTTAGGTTTGCCAGACTATAGAGAGGACGCAAGAACGAGCCACACATTGTTTACAATGTGCGGTTTGGTCAAAGAGGGACATGAGCAAAACAACCAGTAGGCAGCAACGAAGGTTATACCAGACACTCCCTATGTTTCATTTATCCGTACCTTCCTCCTGCCATCGCCACACGACTAGAGCCTTATACCTCCCACCTCTCTCCTTTAACCCTCTCCCTCTCTCCTGAGACAGCCAACCCCGCACCAATTTCCGGGTCATTCCATTCGACACTACCAAACACCACCGCCGCCGAGCAGCATCTCTTCAACGCGACTTCCCTGGACGGAATTTCGCAATCATCTCTTACAGATTCCGTCCGATGGCGGGTGTTTCGGGTCAGGTAGGCCGGCGGGGGTGGTGACCTTTCGCGTCGACCCGGCGAACTTCGATCGAGGGCGGACACGGTTATTCCTTGGGGAATGGAAGGGCAAGGGTTGGGGAAATCTTGGGGGAAGATGCGCACCTGTGAGCGATAAAGTAGGACTATTACGTTCCTCTACATCACTTGATGTTATTTTAATTTTTTCTTTTGTAAGCATTTCAAACTTCATTCTTTGTCTTAAGAAAAAAATGCAGTTGCTCACACAAGCAGCTACAAAAAATAGCACAGTTGAATTAAAATGACGAGCCAGGATTAGCATGCATTTCAGTCTCAGTTCAGGCGGAACTTCTTGATACCCTAACATAAACATCAGAGTCGAGTCAATATTTCTCATGTCCACATTTGATGGCAGATTGAGCTTTAGAAGCGCTGGAGGGCAGCCAACCACTTGTCAGCAGCGGACATTTGTCTTGAACTAAGAAATGCGGGGATGTGACCAATCAAGAGGAACGTGACGCTGTTTTCAGAACAAACAAAAACCCACCTAAAAGCGTTCCGGATTTAAAGCACGCCTAAACTTAGAACTGCACAGTGCACACATGTGAGAATGTGGATATGGGTCGTTCACGCTCAAATGGAGCGTTCGCATCTAATCATAGGTGAAAATTATCGTAAATAAGCCATCATTATCCCCACCACGCCGCCTAAGGAGCCGCGAGGAGTGCACTGGAGCATGCTCGCTCCACGGATCAATCTCGCTGCAACTGACCAGCGCAGACGTTATATAAGGACGGGTCTATAAATAGCCCGGGAGTCGGACCTGGACCAGGATATGAGGCTAGGAATAGATATCGTATCAAAAGGCATCCCGTGGTGCCCTCTATATTTGACCTCATCAAAACCATCGGGACGGATGCCCAAGCAGTGAGCAGTTCGTGACATGACTGCTAGCGCAACACACAGTCAACATGAACCCGTAAAAAGCGACAAGTCAGAGCAAGGTGAATAATTGAACACATAGTTTACAGAAAATCGCACACTGCCGCCTTCTAACCTGGAACACAACCCACCCAGCTTCGCAAATAAAGCCCCCTCACCCCCTCTCTGATAACCGCATGACTAACGCCTGTAAATCCACACCAGAGCTAGACAGGACGTCTGGCAACTGGCAGACCCCGGCAGTTGAGAGTCCCATCAGCACGGCTGGTATTTGGACCGTGTTTATGTAGCTCCAACACACCACCGTCGGCCTTTCGTGATAGCTCCACAGGTTTCGTCACGTGCCTCCGCTATTCTCGTGAAATTTATAAAGCAGATTTCATTATTTGATTTCGCGAGCCTAGAAAATGAAATGTCGTATTTGCATAAGATGAAACAAATTCCGGCAGGAAAAGGCTCGATCTCGAATCCCAAATCTAATAACATGCGACTCTACTTTTAGCTGGCCTCCAGAATGAAGAATTCTCGGTCGAGGTGGGAAGCAATGCTTGTTGAGCGTAGCCTATACCCCAGTTCCACGAACTCATCAGCAATGCAAACAGTACTTCCCACGTTCCTCCGCGCATTGCAAAGCAACTGCTTTGATCTAGTACCTCTAAAAGTTCCTTATTGGGGCATTTTCCACGTAGTGAAGGAATCTATCTCACTGCGACGCAATACCTGTCCAGCGGAGAAAACAAACGACGCAGATAGCGGCCAAAAACATCCGATACAAAATATAAATTCACAAATCCACAACAAATCTTGTACATCATAATTGAACGAGGATGCTTTGAGACGCCAGCATCTCAGTCAAGGAAGTTGAATGTCAGCTGTTATAGTTTCAAGTTCGACAACAACCCGCTGACACTTGGAAGAGGCCAACTGATGAAAGGAAGGAAAGGAGGGAGAGATAGATAAATAGATAGATAGATAGATAGATAGATAGATAGATAGATAGATAGATAGATATATAGATAGATAGAGAGAGAGGAGTGGTTGGAGACCTCTCTCCTCTCTCTCTCTCTCTCTCTCTCTCTCTCTCTCTCTCTCTCTCTCTCCTCTCTCTCTCTCTCTCTCTCTTTCTCTCTCTCTCTCGCCGATTTCCGCCTACGGTAGCGCTGAAAAGTCGCCAAACTAAATCGGTCCGCCAACAGCCCTGCCACCGTTGACATAAACAGCCACTGCCAATCAGCTGACTAGTGACGTCACCGGCGGGCCAATGACGTCATCACACGGCCGATCAGCTGACGCCGGTGGTTCGCGTTGGTGCTATTCGTTAGTCAGTCGATAAAGCCAACAGTTTGGGAACGGCGCAACGCACCCCTGGAGTAGAGCTGCCGGAACGGGCCCGGAGCTCGGAGTAGAGCGGCCAGATTAGGCCCGAGAAGAATAGAAATAAATTTTGCTGATAGCTTTACGGCTTGAAGTTCTCATAGTTGCAGAAGTCAGTATGAACTATTACCATGAAATCATTTATTCTAAGAATTTTTCAAACATATTAACGTCTTCCACGAGAGCATCCGTAAAGACGGCAACCATAAGCTCCATGGCAACACATTAGCAAACATAATCCAGAGGGTTAGCCCTTCGGCTGTAGCTCTGCCGCGTGGTCTCAGTGTATCTCAATGCTCCTGGGCATTAAACGCATGTTGGGCATCAGACACCTGAGGCATGCTAAAAACCAGCCATAAAACGACACATTAGATAATGAAGCTGATCCTGAACAAAAAGCTGCTTACTGCGGACTCAAAGAGAGCCATGCCATGCTTAGCAAAGATTCATTATTCAAAAATATGGTATGGATTTATTTCCGTTTCGACCGGGTACCGAAAGAGAATGGAAATATCAACCACGGAAGCTAAGGAGAATGCCTTGACAGCTAATGTTACAAGACGTTAAATCGTAATAAGAACGCAAAGTACTAAGTGTCAGCTACCAGCGTAAATTCTCATGATCATGTATTTAAATAAAATGAATCTAAACCGACGGCATTCCTCCGTATTTCGTCTCAATATTACTTACAACTTCTGATGTATTAAAACGTCTGCTTAAAGTTCTATGTAAAACACAAGAGAAAAATTCTCAGCACTCTGTATGATATGTCGGCTGGCAGAAGGCAGTAGCTGCGTCTTAGAGCCGCGGGCTGTTCCTTTTTTGGCGCTGCGCCACGGTACACACCATAATTACAACCGGCGTAATGATGTCGGCTGTTGTGCCCATGCCACTCGGGAGAAAGAGTGAGATGGAGAGGGAGAAGGGGAGGGAGAGGGAGAAGGGGAGGGGGAGGGAGAGGGAGAGGGAGTGGGAGTGGGAGAGGGAGAGGGAGAGGGAGAGGGAGAGGGAGTGGGAGAGGGAGAGGGGAGAGGGGAGAGGGATATATAAATGGAGCAGGGGAGTGACGGCTTTTAGCATCTCTAGAACCGATGGGCGGGTTTTTAACCAAACACAGTTCTCGCTCCATGGTGGTTTCTAAGCAGGCAGAACTTTTCTCCGTCCCAGGCATTGATTGCTGAGACCGCATCCATCTTCCGAATCGACACACAACTTTCCTGCCCTTCTTTCTCCCTGCCACACATACCAAAATTAGCCGTGTTCTCGAAAAAAAAAATAGCCGCCTTCAGCATTGGGCGGGTTTTCGAGACAGTACGGCGCACACCTCCAGCCTTGGGGGTTCAAGACCTTCCACAGTGCACACCCCCAACTCCGTCAGGCGGGTTTTCGAGGCTGTTCGGCTCCATCGGGCGGGTTTTCGAGACTGTCCACCCTGAGCTCTGCCGCGTCGGGCGGGTATCCGCTAGCACCGTTCACAGCTCCGACCTGCCCGGGATCGATGCTGGCTGCCGTCGGCGCCGACGATCTGTGTCGACGCACCTGGCCGCCGGTACCGACGGTGGCTGGCCCACATAGGCCGGACACCCCGGTGACGCCATGGGGGGGGGGCGGGGGAGGGGCAGCATTGACTGCAGTGATCGACACGGAAGCAACTGGCGATATATAGGCGGATGCATGTGTGAGCGTGTGAGCATGGAGGGAG